AGGTTATTGGTCCTCATTTTTCTGATGTAGCCTAGCTTCACACTCTTAAACTGCTTGGACTAGAAAGGACTTTGGAGTGGCAGCTTTATTGTAACAAAAAGACTGGCTACTGGGCCCACCTTTCCAGTAACTCAATTTGTAAACTTGGCCAAGTTACTTAAATTCTATGCCTCAGTGTCCTCATCTAACAATAATACATACTTTAAGGTGCTGTGAATTTTAAAGAAGAGAATGTGTATGTTTCATACACTGTGCTGAGAAAAATACATGTATCCTTGTGTAGAATCAGCAAGAAATTTGCCTGCCTTTATTAGCTATGACTCCCACAGATATGAGACTGGGGAGTGATGACAAGAGTTAAAAAATTGTTTCAGATCTTCAAGGGTTTTTTTCAAGTAAGGGGAAAAAGAAAAAAAAAATGAAAAAAATTGTTTCAGTTCCTGATCTACCTCTATTTATCTTATAGGTTTAAAAAAAATTTGAGGCTCTGCAAAGATAAATGATTTGTCCAAACTCAGCAAGTCAGATTAAGGGTGATGAATGCAACTTCTGTTACCTAATAGCTTCCAGGTTTGACTGGGATTAAAGAAAATGATAACTATAACAATTTTAGGGTGAATAAAGAAGCATCCTGGCTGGGCATGGTGGCTCACACCTATAATCCCAGCACTTTGGGAGGCCAAAGTGGGAAGATCACTTGAGGCCAGGAGTTCAAGACCAGCCTGGGAAACGTAGTAAGACCCCATTTCTACAAAAACAAAATTTTTATAATTAGCCGAATGTGGTAGTGTGCACCTGTAGTCCTCAGTACTCTGGAGGCTGAGACAAGAAAATCACTTGAGTCCAGAGGTTCAAGGTTACAGTGAGCTATGAATACACCACTGTACCCCAGCCTGTGTGACAGAGTGAGACCCTGTCTCTCAGAATTAAAATTAAAAAAGGAAGCATCCCCAACATCCTGAATGTCTTGCTACCATATTGTACTTGCCATACCATACTGTCAACATTTGCTATCCACACACAGCATGGCTTTCCCAGTAGGTGGTATGAGAACTAGGAGAGGCAAAGAGCTGAGTTCAGTTGGAAGGCTCATTCAGACGGAAGCCTCCAAGGGGATTGTGTTAGGAGCGGGTGGCCAGGGGCTACTCAGATATCTGGAAGACAGGCAGAAAGCATCTCAGCAGGCAGCTGCCTGAGACAGATCTAAGCAGACAGGTCACTTGCACAGTGGTACGTGCAGAATCGCATTTGTAAGATAAGCATCAATCAAATCTTTCCTCTATTTTGTAACAGTCATATAAAATGATAGCACTGTCTCCATGACAAGCAATACAGATGAAAGCCCAGGAACCATCTGGGAAGTCATCCCTGTCCCAGGCTGGGGGAAAGAAAGAAATGGCTCCTCAAACGGTAACTGTGAAAAACAAATAACCCTTTCAGTCTGATAGGTGGCAAAAATAAGCACTTAAGGAAGAAGCCAACTTCAGCTAAGAAAGATGGGGGAAGAGGAGGAGAGAGCCCTAAAATCCAGAGAGAAGAGATCAGCTCAATAAATGGAGTGAAGAAATAAATGAAGGAACGTCCCTTTTTCCTTTGTATTAGAAATAACACAAGACTGAGTCCAAGAGACCTGGCATTTGAAAGATAAGCCCTGGCTCTTTCAGTGGTTCTGTAAACTTATGCAAATCACACTCTGGGCCTCAGTTTCCTCATCTGTAAAAGGAGTTCTTAAAATAGCTTCCTGGCAAAACTGTTGCAAAAATTAAAACCAGTATATGGGAGGGTGCTTTATAAACCCCTTATTTTTTGTTTTGTTTTGGTTTTTTGGTCTCCGTGCTTACTGGTTTCTTCTAGCAAGTCATCCTGAGTAGTGGAAATAGTTTGGGGTTCCAAATCAAACAAACTGGATTCAGTTACCAGCTCTATCATTTATTACCTATGAGACCATGGCAATAAATTTTACATGATTAAGAAAGTTTCCTCATTCATAAAACAAGCATTGTTGGGAAAATTATAGGTAATGTGGGTAATACAACTAGAATAGTGCAGTAATTTCTTGGTATAGGCAAGGGATTGGTTCCAGGACCCCCACATATACAGAAATCCACACCTACTCAAGAACCACAGTTGGCCCAGTGGAACCCACCTAGACTAAAAGTTGGCCCTCTGAATATACAGACTTCACCTCCCGCCACTACTGTATTTTCTTCTCTTTTTCTTTTTTAAGAGATGAATGTCACTCTGTCTCCCAAGATGGAGCACAGTGGCCTGATCATAACTCATTGTAGCTTCAAATTCCTGGGCTCAAGCAATCCTTCTACCTCAGCCTCCCAAGTAGCTGGGATTACAGGTTCGAGCCACTGTGCTTGACCCAGCCAGGTATTTTTTTCTTAATTTTTTTTTTTTTTTAGAGACGGGGGTCTCACTATGTTGCCCAGGCTGGAGTGCAGTGGCTATTCACAGGCACAATCCCCCTACTGATTAGCACGGGAGTTTTGGCCTGCTCCGTTTCCGACCTGGGCCGGTTCACCCCTCCTTAAGCAACCTGGGGGTCCCCCGCTCCCAGGAGGTCACCATATCAATGCCAAACTTAGTGCAGACACCTGATCAGCATAGCGCACTACAGCCCTATGAGCTTGGTGGGCTCAAGTGATCCTCCCACCTCAGCCTCCCAAATAGCTGAGACTACAGGCACGCACCACCATGCCCGGCCACCATGGTATTTTTAAATCAGTGTTTGGTTGAAAAAAAACTGGGAAGATCAAGTTCACAAACGTTCTGGAGGAAGAAAAAAATAAAATTAAAATTAAAAATAAGAAAAAAAAATGGGGTATAAGTGGACCTGCACAGTTCAAACTCATGTTGTTCAACGGTCAACTGTATATGCAATAGAGCAGGGGATCAATAAATGTAATTCTCTGTCTTCTTACTTGGAGCATTTCAGCAAGGATAAGGAAAAAGTTGGGCAAATATGGACCTCACCTTCCTACCTAAAGCCATACTCTACTTTTCTAATTCAATCTGTCTTAAGACCATTCCCCACTGCTGACCCATCACCACCTTCACTGTTTTACCAGGTCTCTTAGAGCTACAGAAACAATATCATAATAGCTACCATTTATTGAGCACCTACTAAATGTCAAGCATTTTACATGGTGCTTTCAATGCATTCCATCTTGCACACAACAGATGCATGATATTCATTTCCTTCCTCCTCCAGATTGGAATGAGATAGCCATGGGTGTGTCCACTGACAGAACAGAGACACACCTGCAGAATAACATCAGTGGGCTCTCTCTTTGTACAGTGTTTTACAGTTTACAAAGTTCTTTTCACCCACATTATCCTATTTGATTCTCACAACAACTCTTGAGAGTGGATGAAGAAACTGAGGCAAGAGCACCACCACAGCTCAATTATTCATTAAATCAACATTCGCCAAGCACCTACTATGCACCAGACCCTGTGCTATACTTGGGGAGATGGAGAGAAACCCTAAGGACTTCAAGCTTAGAGGGGAAACCTATTTAAAGATTTTCTATAGGTTACTGATGCCTCCCTTCATGTCATAATCTTTAAGAAACTGAAGGTTTATTTCTTGGACTGGAGATGCTTTTAGATTTTTGCCTTTTCCCATACAGTTTCCTCTGATAGGAACACACTTTCCGCCACTACTAGCTAAATTTTTCATGACCAGAAAGCCTTCCCGGACCCACCCATCTCCCCCACAGCACCTCTTCTCTGGCTCCCACAGGACCAGGGTTTTCCACTTCTATAGATAAGGCTTTTTATGGCTTCCATTGTCTTCCTCTGTTTATAGGCATAGAACAGGTGGGCACCCACTGACTTCCATTGTCTTCCTCTGTTTATAGGAACAGAACAGGTGGGCACCCACCTGTGCCCACACACACACACACACACACACCCTCTCCTTTTCCTGTCTCCCACCCCTTTCCATCTGGATTCCAGGAAGCTGAGGGAAGAGGGCCCATTTTTCTCCCACCCCCTCCACATCTCTCTTAGCTTCCAGAGGGTGCTGCCCTTCCCTCCCCAAAGTTCCTTCCATGCTTGGACTCCAGAACAGAGTTGGCCTGTGGATGAGTTTTTCTGTCCAAAATTCTTTTCTGTGATCCCGGGTGCCAATGTAACAAGGTCCAGTGCCTGTGTCCCCTTGTCATACTCCTGAGTGGCCAAGACACCGCAGGTGCCTGCGCTCCACTCAAGCCTCCATTATCTTTCCACCCTTACACCACAACTCACACCTGGCCTCTTCCCCAGCCTGACCCAGTGCCCCACCACCCTGAACTCTTCAAGTTCTCTCACGATTCCTCCGCTTGCAGCCTCCAGACCCTACTCTATTCCAGAGTCTCCTCCCTCGTCCTGACCATAATATAGGCCCCTGTGTCCATTTCCAAAGCCACTGTCCTCTATCTCCACCGGCTCACGGCCCCCTTCCTCTGCAGCCGGATAGACCCAGCCTGGCCTCTCACCCTTTTATTCTCCCAAGCCCTACTCTTTGCCCTCCATCTACAGTTACCCCCTCGCCGGACCCCTGGGCTCCAGCTCCGACACCAGCTAGCCATACCCACATCCCCCATAAATGACCCTCTACTGACCAGACACTCCCCTGCCGCCCAGCGCCGCTTCCCTTCGGCACCGCAGTCCCCTCCAGCTCCAAACGACCCCCGCAGAGCCAGCCCCCTCCCCTTAGCTCCTCACCTCCACGCCTCCCCAACACCCCACCTCCGCTCTAGCTCCCCTCAGTCCTCTCCCTTCATCGCCCCCTTTGCTGCCCCTCGGCTGCCAGGTACCCCCTTTCCGCACAGCCCCTCTACGCCCTCCTCGCAGCTCCCACGCCCCCGTTTCCCCCCGCGATCCCTCACTGCCCTCCAGTGGCTCCTCATCTCTCCCCTCAGCCCCAGCGCGGTCTTTCTCGCTCCCCTTCCGCCCTTAGAGCTCCTCCGGCTGCCCCCACGGTCCGGGAGACCCCCTCGACTCACCCTCCAGAGGCGAGCCCCCACCTCAGCCGCCGCGGAGCCCCCTCCCTCGCGCCTCTCCCGGCTCCCCTCCGCTGCCCCGCGCTCCTTCTCAGTGCCCGCTCTCGGTGCCCGGTGCCCAGCGCCGAGAATCGGTCCCTTATCCTCGCGGGCTGGCTGCCGTGGCCGCGCCCCTTACCGCGGACTCCGAGTGCGGGACGGCGGGTTCGCTCTCGGACGGTCGGCGGAACGGCAGGACCTGGCGGCGGGAGAGCTCGGCGGGGGCCGGGGCAGGGCGCCGCGGAGGGCTGCGGGCGGGTCGGGTCCAGTCCGCACAGTGGCGCCTGAGGGCTGAGGCTGAGGCTCCAGAGCTGCTCGGCTCCGGCCGCATCCAGGCCCCGCCCAGGGGCGGAGTCTGCATTGACCCCGCCCTGGCCCTCAACTCCTAGCAGGTGTAAGGAATCCGAGGTGACTCAGGACCCCCAGATCCCTCAAATCTGGCTGATTATAGTGATTTATCTTAATTGTCATGACTCGTTCCATTGACTGAACTTACTAGGGTGATCAGAGAGCTTTGATGATAATGTAGCTGATGATGGGTAGCAGTTTTGTCATTTCCACACTGCTTTCTGGTCCGTTCTATCATTCTGCCTTCACAAAAGCCCAGGGAGGGAAGCTGACTACAAGCGGAAACGAAGCCAGAAACCTGGACGCTGTCCTCTACCCTATCTGTGCTTCCTTTACACCCCACATCCCACCACCTTAACATATCCCTGCCCTTCCTCTGTGTCTCAATTGCCCTTATTCTAATTCCAGCATCATCACTTCTTGCTTGTACTAATGCAACAGCTTCCTAATTCCTGCCTTCAATCTCTAATTCATCCTGTAAAACCAGGAGGTGGGTTAGCATGGCCATTTCCACCCTTGCACAAAAATTCTTTCTCCTGGGCTCTCCAGTCATACCACCCACCACCTCTCTTCATTACTGACACCCAGTTGCTCCTTACACATTAAAGATGACAGCCCCTGGCTCATGGTCATTCTCACTAGCCTCTGTCCTGCCATCCTCCTGGTGCTTCAATAGTTATAGGATTTCCTGGTCCCATTCATTCTGAGTGAGATACCAAAACCATTTTTATACAAGCCCAAGCAACCCTTTAAAATGTCATCATGGCTGGGTGCAGTGGCTCATGGCTATAATCCCAGCTCTTTGGGAGGCTGAGGCAGGCGAGGCAGGTGGTTCACTAGGTCAGGAGTTCAAGACAAGCCTGACCAACATCGTGAAACCCCATCTCTACTGAAAATACAAAAGAAAATAGCTGGGTGTGGTGGCATGTGCCTGAAATCCCATCTACTCAGGAGTCTGAGGCAGGAGAATCGCTTGAACCCAGGAGGTGGAGGTGGCAGTGAGCCAAGATCGCGCCACTGCACTCCAGGCTGGGTGACAGAGCAAGTCTCTGTCTCAAAATAAATAAATAAGTAAATAAATAAAATGTCATCATGTTACCATCAACCTTGTTTTAAAAAATTCTCAGCTGGGTGCAGTGGCTCACACCTGTAATCCCAGAACTTTGGGAGGCCAAGGCAGGCAGATCACTTGAGGTCAGGAGTTCGAGACCAACCTGGCCAACATGGTGAAACCCTGTCTCTACTAAAAATACAAAAGTTAGCCAGGCATGGTGGTGCATGCCTGTAGTCTCAGCTACTCAGGAGGCTGAGGCAGAATTGCTTGAACCCGGTAGGCAGAGGTTGCAGTGAGCTGAGATCACTGCACTCCAGCAGTGCACTCCAGCCTGACCAACAGAGCAAGACTCTCTCTCAAAGAAAAAAGCAAACAAATGAAAACTCTCAATCATTTCCCATTACCAGGAGGCTATCAACAGGAGTGAGAAAATATTCTTGTGTGGCCCTAGGAAGTCCCAGTTCTACCAGAGAAGGCAGATACAGGAGGCAATTAACACCCACTCTCAAATCCAGGTATGGACTTCCAGTCTTCCTGAGGTCACAGGAGCCAGCTGACAGCTTGATCTAGAATCATTATCTTTCCCCACAATTCTCCCACATCTCAAATCTTAGAGGTCTGAGTCAAATATCAAAACCATTTTTCCCCAAGTTCCATTATGACCTGGTCTACAGTGTGTATCTCCAGCCTAGGAACCACCCAAACTGACAGAGCCCCTCTGCTTGTGTGGCCTCTGCCTCATACACTTACTCTTCTGAGCTTCTTGCCCAGCCCTTTCACTCACTTTCCCACATCCCACCACACAGTCAGGCCTTTCCTCTGTGCCTTCTAGAATCCTGATATTTTGTCAACAAACTCTCCTATATCCCCTGCTTCTTCAGAATACTCAGGTGACTTCTTTGCCTGAGCCTCCTCCAGGTACTGCCTCCTTTGAAGCCCTCTGCTAGAAGGCTTCTTATTCTTCCACTCCCTGTATACTATAAAACCAGGATGTGGGGTTGGCATGGCCATTTTGACCCTTGTATAAAAATTCTTTTTCCTGTGCTCTTCAACCATACCACCCTCCACCCCTCCTCATCACTGACCCACAATTGCTCCTTATGCGTTAAAGATTGAGCCCCTGGCTCATGGTCATTCTCACTAGACCCTGTCCTGCCATCCTCCTGGTGACTTCAGTAGCTATGGAATTTCCTGGTCTCTCAGTCATTGGCCTCCACATCACCTTGGCCACCAGCTCCCATGATCACTCTTGAGCTCGTAATCACCCACTGCTGTTACCTCTGTAACAGCAAAATCAAACATGCTGAGAACGAGGAGGAAGGAGAGAAAATGGTGTCCACGGATTACAGAACCTGTAGCCAAGCTGCAGTGCAGCAGAGCTACAGTGCTTACACTGCCCAGCCCACTCAAAGATATGCACAGACCACCCAGGCATATGGGCAACAAAGCTATGGAACCTATGGACAGCCCACTGATGTTAGCTATACCCAGGCTCAGACCACTGCAACTTATGGGCAGACCGCCTATGCAACTTCTTATGGACAGCCTCCCACTGGCTATACTACTCCAACTGCCCCCCAGGCATACAGCCAGCCTGTCCAGGGGTATGACACTGGTGCTTATGATACTACCACTGCTACAGTCACCACCACCCAGGCCTCCTACACAGCTCAGTCTGCATATGGCACTCAGCTTGCTTATCCAGCCTATGGGCAACAGCCAGCAACCACTGCACCTAAAAAACTGCAGGATGGTAACGAGCCCATTGAGACTAATCAACCTCAATCTAGCACAGGAGGTTACAACCAGCCCAGCCTAGGATATGGACAGAGTAACTACAGTTATCCCCAGGTACCTGGGAGCTACCCTATGCAGCCAGTCACCACACCACCATCCTACCCTCCTACCAGCTATTCTTCTACACAGCTGACTAGTTATGATCAAAGCAGTTACTCTCAACAGAACACCTATGGGCAACCAAGCAGCTATGGACAGAAGAGTAGCTATGGTCAACAAAGCAGCTATGGGCAGCAGCCTCCCACTAGTTACCCACCCCAAACTGGATCCTACTGCCAGGATCCAAGTCAATATAGCCAACAGAGCAGCAGCTACGGGCAGCAGAGTTCATTCCAACAGGACCACCCCAGTAGCATGGGTGTTTATGGGCAGGAGTCAGGAGGATTTTCCAGACCAGGAGAGAACCAGAGCATGAGTGGTCCTGATAACTGGGGCAGGGGAAGGGGGGGATTTGATCGTGGAGGCATGAGCAGAGGTGGGCAGGGAGGAGGACGCAGTGGAATCGGCAGCGCTGGAGAGTGAGGTGGCTTCAATAAGCCTGGTGGACCCATGGACGAAGGAGCAGATCTTGATCTAGGCCCACCTGTAGATCCAGATGAAGACTCTGACAACAATGCAATTTATGTACAAGGATTAAATGATAATGTGACTCTAGATGATCTGGCAGACTTCTTTAAGCAGTGTGGGGTTGTTAAGATGAACAAGAGAACTGGGCAACCCATGATCCGCATCTACCTGGACAAGGAAACAGGAAAGTCCAAAGGCGATGCCACAGTATCCTATGAAGACCCACCTACTGCCAAGGCTGCTGTGGAGTGGTTTGACAGTAAAGATTTTCAAGGGAGCAAACTTAAAGTCTCTCTTGCTCAGAAGAAGCCTCCAGTGAACAGTATGAGGGGTGGTATGCCACCCCGTGAGGGCAGAGGGATGTCACCACCACTCTGTGGAGGTCTAGAAGGCCCAGGATGTCCTGGGGGACCCATGGGTTGCATGGGAGGCCATGGAGGAGATAGAGGAGGCTTCCCTCCCAGAGGACCCTGGGGTTCCCAAGGGAACCCCTCCAGAGGAAGAAACGTCCAGCACCAAGCTGGAGACTGGCAGTGTCCCAGTCCAGGTTGTTGAAACCAGAACTTCGCCTGAAGAACAGAGTGCAACCAGTGTAAAGCCCCAAAGCCTGAAGCCTTCCTCCCGCCACCATTCCCGCCCCTGGATGGTGATCATGTCAGAGGAGGCCCTGGTGGCATGCGGGGAGGAAGAAGTGGACTCATGGATTGTGGTGGTCCCGGTGGAATGTTCAGAGGTGGCCGTGGTGGAGACAGAGGTGGTTTCCGTGATGGCCGGGGCGTGAACTGAAGTGGCTTTGGTGGAGGAAGATGAAATGGGAGGAAGAAGAGGAGGACGTGGAGGACCTGGAAAAATGGATAAAGGCAAGCACTGTCACGAGTGCAGAGATCGGCCCTACTAGATGCAGAGACCCCGCAGAGCTGCATTGACTACCAGATTTATTTTTTAAACCAGAAATGTTTTAAATTTATAATTCCATATTGATAATGTTGGTCATTATAAATATAATTCCATATTTATAATGTTGGCCATAAACATTATGATTATTCCTTGTCTGTACTTTAGTATTTTTCACCATTTGTGAAGAAACATTAAAACAAGTTAAATGGTAAAAAAAAAAAAAAAAGAAAAAATGCTGTGCTGAACTGCTCCCTCACTCCCTTTCTCCCACAAGGCCCTAGTTTCCTCATTTCAAAATAGATGAGATGATAATGATTATTCTTTCCTCCCAGGAATAATGAGATAGCATATAGAGCCATCCTTTTAAAGTCGTGAGACAATATAAGAACAGATGGTATTGCTTTTATGTAGCCTCAGTTCTTCTGGTTGCTTTCTCCTTCTCCCTCCTCTGAAAGGCAGTGTAGTAAATTAGAAAGGGCACACACAGGCTCAGGGCCAGGCAGACCTGATCTTCAGTCCTTGCTTGCTATGTGATCTTATGCCAATTACCTCATTTCTCTCGCACACACATCCCTTCCTTATTTGTAGAAAGAGCAACAATGGGAACTCCTTCTCAGAGTTGTTGGGAAGATCAAATGAGAACACAAGCTACTGGAGAGCACTTGACAGAATTCTAGGCACATGGTAAGCATTCAATAAATAGGAAACACTGTGTTTCTTATAATAGAAAAAAAAGTGCTATTTTTGACCACAACTGCTTCCTGGAATGACAGATCCCAATGCACAGAAGGTCCTTTTTTGTTGTTGTTGAGATGGAGTTTTGCTTTTGTTACCCAGGCTGGAGTGCAATGGCGCAATCTCGGCTCACCGCAACCTTCACCTCCTGGGTTCAGGCAATTCTCCTGCCTCAGCTTCCCGAGTAGCTGGGATTACAGGCGTGAGCCACCGCGCCCGGCCCCAGAAGGTCCTTTTGTCCTGCTTGGGACCTCAGTTGATAAGTGTGAATATGTAAGTTTGGGAGAAGAAGAAAAATCAAATTGCTGTTTATGTTTAAAAAAGGGGTGGAGTAGGTGGGGCATGATGGCTCACACTGGCAATCCCAGCACTTTGGGATCACCTGAGGCCAAGAGTTTGAGATCAGCCTGGCCAACATGGTGAAATTCTGTCTCCACTAAAAATACAAAAATTAGCCAGGTGTGGTGGTGGGCACCTGTACTCCCACCTGCTCAGGAGGCTGAGACAGGAGACTCACTTGAACCTGGGAGGCGGAGGTTGCAGTGAGCTGCCATTGTGCCACTGCACTCCAGCCTTGCAACAGAGTGAGACTCCATCTCAAGAAAATAAGGGATGGGGGGTTGGAGGGGAGGAGAATTTGGAATTCACTTGACAAAATGATTGGAGGGCAAGTTAATAGACAGAGATGGGAGGAGGAAAGGAAAAACATGAGTAAGAAAATCAATGTAAGGATAGGTGCTACATAGGTAAAGAGTAAGAAGAAACTCTCCCATGGTAGGTTGGCAAAAGAGTGTTTCAGCAGTGAAATGCCTAAATGATCCCATTTTAGGGATTTGTCACACACAGGATGTGACCATCCTATGTGACTCTCAAGACTTCAGGAAGGGTTATTACACCCAGGAATCCTTTTTAAGAGAGGAGAACTGTAACAGTGCATGAACAGGGAGTTGAGCAATGTGCTTTGTTAGGTCTCAATTGAAAAAGGAGACTGGAAGCAGAGGTAACTGTGACAGCACAAGCCCTTGGGGAACTTGCAAAAACTTGTGTAGGACTTTGCACTTACATGAGTTGGGAAATGTGAATATTGAGCTTCAAGCCCATTGCATTTGGATCTTAAAGAGGCAAGGAGGTGGCCAGACATGGCGGCTTAATCCCAGCACTTTAGGAGGCCAAGGCGGGTGGATCATCTGAAGTCAGGAGTTTGAGTCTGGCCAACATGGTGAAACCCTGTCTCTACTAAAAATACAAAAAAAAATTAGGGTGGCGGGCACCTGTAATTCCAGCTACTTGGGAGGCTGAGACAGAAGAATCGCTTGAACCTGGGAAGTGGAGTTTGCAGTGAGCTTAGATCACACCACTGTACTCCAGCCTGGGTGACAGAGTCAGACTCAGTCTCAAAAAAAAAAAGGAGGCTGAGAGGCCACATCTTACATTTGGGTTGTATCACTTATGCCTCCATAAGCTACCTTCTTATTGACTAAGGTAGCCATCTGAGGGAAGAACAACAGAAATCAAATCATACTGCACTGTCTTCACTTCCGGATCCAAATGCCCAAGTAAGAATGGGAAGGAAGAAAAATTCTGCCTTTTGTCTTGGCTCAGATTAGTTAACAATTATATTCATTGGATCCTTAAATTACGCTAAGCTCATTCACATCTTTTATCTCATTTAATCCTCAATGTAATTATGCAAAGTATGGATCATCATCCCTTTTTCATAGACAAGAAAAGAGAATTCAAAAAGTTTAAGTGACTTGCCCAGGTTCATACAAATAGTAAGTGGCAGAACCAGAGGGCAGGTCTGACTCCAAGACCAGAGCTTTTTCTATTAGACTCTAGAATTATATTTTGATTTCCCAGCAAACAGCATTGTGATTAAGAGTCCTGTAAAGTACACGGTATCACCTGCCTGTAGTCCCAGCTACTCAGGAGGCTGAGGCAGGAGGATGATTTGAGCCCAGGAATTCTGGACTATAGTGTGCTATGCAGATCAGGTATCCTCACTAAGTTCAGCATTAATATGGTGAATTCCTGGGAGTGTGGGGCTACCAGGTTGCCTAAGGAGGGGTGAATCAGCCAAGGTCGGAAACAGAGCAGGTCAGAACTTCCATGCTCATCAGTAGTGGGATCACGCCTGTGAATAACCATTGTACTGCAGCCAGGAAAACAGAGAGACTCTGTCTCTATATTTAAAAAATAAATAGACCAGACACGGTGGCTCACACCTGTAATCCCAGCACTTTGAGAGGCTGAGGCAGGAAGATAACCTGAGGTCAGGAGTTCAAGACTAGCCTGGCCAACATAGTGAAACCCCATCTCTACTAAAAATACAAAAAAAATTAGCTGGGCATGGTGGTGCATGCCTGTAGTCCCAGCTACTTGGGAGGCTGAGGCAGAAGAATTGCTTGAACCCGGGTAGCAGAGATTGCAGTGAGCCGAGATTGCACCACCATACTCCAGCCTGGGTGACAGAGTGAGACTCCATCTCAAAACAATAGATAAACAAACAAATAAATAAATAGAGTCCTACAGTGAAATTTCCTTTCGTAGTTGCCAGAGTAATCAGCCTTCTCCATCACCTAGTTTTACACGAAGTATAAAACTGATGCTCTTTGGTTGTTGTTATTAGAGATGGGGTCTTGCTATATTGCCCAGGCTGGTCTTGAACTTCTGGCCTCAAACGATCCCCCCACCTCAGCCTTCCAAGAAGCTAGGATCACAGGTGTGAGCTTTTATTGAATGAAAATCAGTGGCTTAGAAAATGTAGTGGCACAAGAGGATGTCATTTGGAATGTTCAAATTTTCACAAGGTGAATCTTTACCCTAGTGTTAATCCCTCATGTCCAGCTTAGGAACTCAGATGTGTTGACAGGTCATTTTCATCCAACCCCTTCAACAGACTGCTTCATGCAATGGGGTAGCGAAAGCATGTACCTGTGAAATAGATCAGAAATATAGGATTCAATGAGAGGAGTGGTGGAAGATGGGGCAGAAAAAAGAGGCAGAGGCTAGATGGTCCAAAACATTGTACATCATATTAGGGATTTGGGATTTTACCTTACAAACAAAAAGGTTTTAGGCAATGGAATAACATGGTTACATATGACTGTAAGAAAGATACCTCTGCCTGGCCAGGTGCAGTGGCTCCCACCTGTAATACCAGCACTTTGGGAGGCTGAAGCTGGCAGATCACAAGGTCAGGAGCTTGAGACCAGCCTAGCCAATATGGTGAACCCCGTCTCTACTAAAAATACAAAAATTAGCCAGGTGTGGTGGTGGGCACCTGCAGTCCCAGCTACTCGGGAAGCTGAGTCAGGAGAGTCACTTGAACCCAGGAGGCAGAGGTTGTTGCAGTGAGCCGAGATCGCGCCACGGCACTCCAGCCTTGATATAGAATAAGACTTCGTCAAGAAAAAAAGAAAAGAAAGAAAAGGAAGGAAGGGAGGGAGAAAGGAAGGGAAAGAACTCAATGTGTCTGACCCAAGGAACTCAGTGTGTCTGATACAGGACAGTAGAATATAAGATCCACTAATCTGAACTCCACAGGAAAGGCCATACCACTATCCAACACAGGGCCTCCTAACCCATTCTTAGAAGAGCTCAGGGTACCTATAAATATAGGTATTTCGTATTTATATGCTTTATTTCTGGATAAATAAGTATATAAGTATTAACAAAAGGTTTCTCATATCTACCATCTCATTTAACTTTCACAGTGAACCTGTGAAGTTGGGACTGATTTATGCCCTGATGTGAGCAAGTAGTAACTGGCCGATGGTTTCTTAGCTATTGAAAGTAAGGAAAACCAGGGCTCAAATTAGCCACAATAAGAGATTTGGTGAGGCATGGCTATTTTCTCACAGTTGGACAGGTCAGCAGGGAGGAACCTGGGATGTTAGGCCTGGCCTCATGCTAGGTCCTGGGATGTAGACTTGAGAATTAAGCTGAGCCATTAAGAAAAAGTAGTAGTTAAATGCGTGGAGAAGTCACCTAGGCAGATGGGCCAGCATGAACAAAGGCCCAAAAGTGTGAAATGATGTGAAGTCTTCAGAGAACTTGGAGTCTCTAGAAGCATAGGTGTAATGAGCAGAGTAGCAGGTGATGAGTGAGGCAGGAGAGCTAAGTTGGAGTCAGAGGTCAGGCAAAGCCTGGGTGGCCATACAAAGGACAATGGACTCCATGATCAGGGCAGTGCAGAGCTGATACTGGCCTTTATCCAAGGGGAAGACTTGGCAAAAGTTATGTTTTATATAGATCTTATGTCCTGGTGCAGTGGCTCACGCCTGTAATCCCAGCACTTTGGGAGGCCAAGACAGGCGGATCATGAGGTCAGGAGTTTGAGACCAGTCTGGCCAACAGCAGAGCAGTGAAATCCTGTCTCTGCTAAAAATACAAAAATTAGATGGACATGGTGGTGTGTGCCTGTAATCCCAGCTCCTGGGGAGGCTGAGGCAGGAGAATCACTTAAAACTGGAAGGTGGAGGTTGCAGTGAGCTGACCCAGCCTGGGCAAAAGAGCAAAACTCCATCTCAAAAAAAAAGATCTTATAGCCTGCGCAACAGGAATCAGATTGAAGGTTCCAAGATACTGGAAGCAGGGAGATCAGAGAAAATGCTGGTGGAGTGACTTCAAAATAGCTAGGCTGGCAGAGTGCAGTGGCTCATGTCTGTGATCCCAGCACTTTGGGAGGCCGAGGTGGGCAGATTGCCTGACCTCAGGAGTTCAAGACCAGCCTGGGCAACATAGTGAGACCCCCCCCGTCTCTACTAAAAATATAAAAAATCAGCCAATCATGGTAGCATGAGCCTGTAGTCCCAGCTACTTGTGAGGCTAAGGCAGGAGAATCTGGGAGGACTGAACCTGACAGGCAGAGGTTGCAGTGAGCCAGGATTGTGCACTCCAGCCTGAGTGACAGAGCAAGACTCTGCCTCCAAAAACAAAACAAAGCAAAATAACTAGATGCAGTGGCATGCGCCTATAGTCACACTGATTAGGACGCAGAGACCAAAGGATTACTTGAGCCTAGGAGTTTGAAACCAGCCTGGGCAACATAGCGAGACCCCATCTCAACAACAACAACAACAAAAGACAGCAGGAGAGATTATTAGACCTGAGCTGGGAAATGCACTGGGACATGAAAGAAACAAGATTTGGTTACTGATAGGATGTAGATGAAGCAAAAGAAAATTGAGGCAACCAGGAGAGCTTTCTTTTTTTTTCTTTTGAGACAGAGTTTCACTCTTGTTACCCAGGCTGGAGTGCAATGGAGTGATCTCGGCTCACTGCAACCTCCGCCTCCTAGGTTCAAGCAATTCTCCTGCCTCAGCCTCCCGAGTAGCGGGGACTACAGGCATGCACCACCATGTCCAGCTAATTTTTGTATTTTTAGTAGAGACGGGGTTTCACCATGTTGACCAGGATGGTCTCGATCTCTCGACCTCGTGATCCACCTGATTTGGCCTCCTAAAGTGCTGGGATTATAGGTGTGAGCCACCGAGCCCCGCCCAGGAGAGCTTTCTAACTTGGATAGTGTCATTCGCTGTGAAAAAGAGAACAAAAGAGACAGAGGGGCCAGAAGAAGGGGAATGGTGGTAAAAGCAGCAACTGCTCTGAAAATAATTATTCATACTTTATTTATTGTATTTAAATTTAATCAAGCCCATTAGTGTCTCAGTCAGGCCTCTCCCACAGAGCCCAGAAGCAGAATCTAGCTCTGTCAGTCCCCAGTCTTTGCTTCCCTGACCCTCTAGGCCTCTTTTTTCCCCCCAGTTCTTAAACAGAGAAAATACCCATTCCATAACTTAACACAATGATGGATAGCACCCTGTTATTGGGGTATTAGTTCCAAACATAATCAAGGTTTCACTGAGGAGCCAGAGGAAACTCAAAGCAGCCTTCTCCCACCAAACCCAAAGATGGGTTGATCACTTAGTATATGCCAAGCACTGTTCTAAGCGGAGTACACAAACATGAGCTAAACAGGCAGAATCCCTTCTCACACAGAAGTTAGGAATCCACAGAGAGGAGACAAACAATAAGTACACAAAGTATCTATGATAATTTCAGATGGTGATACCTATATTTAAGGAAACATTCCAAAGAGATGATTAAGTTAGGATAATTAAACAGGGACAGCCTTTCTGAGGAAGTGACATTTGAGTTGGGACCTGATGGATAAGAAAGAATCAACCCATTTCAGAGATGATTTAGGAAATTAAGATGCAGAGAGAACAGGTAGTTTTCCCAGGGCAAGACAATGAGTGAACAACTAACTAGAGCCTTCCCCACTTGGCTGGGCACCATGGCTCACAACTGTAATCCCAGCATTTTGGGAGGCCAAGGTGGCAGGATCACTTGAGCTCACAAGTTCAAGACCAGCCAGAACAACATGGTGAAACCCATCTTTACCAAAAAAAACAAAGATTAGCCGGGCATGGTAGTGTGTGCCTGTAGTCCCAGCTACTTGGGAGGCTAAGGCACGAGAATCACTTGAACCCAGGAGACAGAGGTTGCAGTGAACCTAGATCGTGCCACTGCACTCCAGCCTGGGTGACAGAGAGAAATAAAAATTGTGCTCACCCTAGGCACAAAGTTCTTCTTTGGTCTCATAAGTTATTACCCACCACTGACCAGATCCCTTTCTAGACCAACTCTGTTAAATGAGGGAATTGAATTAAAATAAGTATAACCACCAGGGCTTGGGGGCTTCCACCTGTAATCCCAGCACTTTGGGATGTCAAGGTGGGCAAATTGCATGAGTCCAGGAGTTCAAGACCAGTCTGGACAACATGGCAAAGCCCCGTTTCTACTAAAAATACAAAATATTAGCCAGGCGTGGTGGCATATACCTGTGGTCCCAGCTACTCAGGAGGCTGAGGTGGGAGGATAACTTGAACCCAGGAGGTCAAGCCTGCAGTGAGCCTTGAATGTACCACTTCACTGCAGCCTGGGCAACAGAGTGAGACCCTATTTCAAATAAATAAATACATAAGTAAATTAATTAATATAATGTAATATATTTAAGTTTTGGAATCAGGCAGTTCTGGGTTCAAATTCAACTTTTGCCATTCACTAATTATGTGATTGAATTTCTCTAGACCATAGGTTGCTTATCTGTAAAATGAGGATGAGGATTATTTCACTGGCTCTTTGAGAGAGTTAAATTAAAGGTGATAATGTATGTAAAATAGGTGGTGTATACCAGACTATTTAATAACATCAGCTACTTTCAGCATAACTAAGTACATTATGCTTGCCAGTGAGTTCACCTTCAAATATGTGTCCAGAGAATGAAGAACAGTTACAAATGGCTTAGAATCTATAAAACAAGTCAGAGTAAGCTCAGTGCAGTGGCTCATGCCTGTAATCCCTGCATTTTGGGAGGCTGAGGCAGGGGGATTGCTTGAGCCCAAGAGCTTAAGACCATTCTGGGCAACATGGCAAATCCACATCTCTATAAAATACAAAAGTTAGCTGGGTGTGGTGGTGCATACCTATAGTCCCAGCTACTTAGAAGGCTGCAGTGGGAGGATCACCTGAGCCCAGGAAGGCTGAGGAGTGATTGCACCATTGCACTCCAGCCTGGGCGACAGAGTAAGACCTTGTTTCTCAAAAAACACTCGGTTTCTCAGAAGAAAAACAAATACAAGACATATGCCTTTCTAATTTTGGAAGAATGTCTCCTATTGGTCGGTCTTTCCTGGAGGGCTTGCTAAGTAAGAAAGCCTGGCCGGGCGCGGTGGCTCAAGACTGTAATCCCAGCACTTTGGGAGGCCGAGGCGGGTGGATCACGTCAACATGGTGAAACCCCGTCTCTACTAAAAATATAAAAAATTAGCTGGGCATGGTGGCGCGTGCCTGTAATCCCAGCTACTCAGGAGGCTGAGGCAGGATAATTGCCTGAACCCAGGAGGCGGAGGTTGCGGTGAGCCGAGATCGCGCCATTGCACTCCAGCCTGGATAACAACAGCGAAACTCCGTCTCAAAAAAAAAGAAAGAAAGGCTGTTAGGTGAGTCTGTGATCTTTGGCAAAGGTAAGTCTCATACCCCCTCTTGTGTCCAAAATGGGAACTGTACTCTCTCTGGACTAAGCGGTAGCCATGGTGCTGAAATCAACCTGGGTATAGTGGCTGAATGGCAGGGAATTAAGGTTTGTTAAGCACCTTCTATGTTCCGGGAAGCTTCTGAGGTATCTTCCATGTATTATCTCATGTCTCATCAACCGTTCAACAGAAGAGAAAACTGAAACTCGCAAGCTTAAATGACTTCTCCAGGTTTTCGTGGATAATAACATATAAAACAGACCTAAAGGGAAAAACTGGAAAAAATCAGTGATATTGATTGTACTATGAGATAAAATCCAACCTCCTTAGCAAATATGATTAGATTCTTTTATCTTCAACTTTATTTTCAACGACCTAACCCCCTTGGTCCTTGTGCTCTGGCCACACAGAATGACTTAGGGTTCTCAGAAATTGCTTTAAATCTCAGCATTTTTGGCTGGGCACGGTGGCCCACACCTGTAATCCCAGCATTTTGGGAGGCCGAGGAGGGCAGATCGCCTGAGGTTGGGAGTTCGAGACTGGCCTGACCAACATGGGGAAACCCTGTCTTTACTAAAAATACAAAATTATCAGGGCATGTCTGTAATCCCAGCTACTGGGGAGGCTGAGGCAGGAGAATCACTTGAACCTGGGAGGTGGAGGTTGAGGTGAGCCAAGATCTTGCCATTGCACTTCAGCCTGGGCAACAAGAACGAAATTCTGTCTCCAAAAAAAAATGAGCATTTTTGCCCAAGCCTTTATCTCTTTCTTAGGTGACTTCCTTAATACCCCTCCCTGATCTAGAAAATTCCTTCCTACTCATCCTGCCATGCCATCCATTTTAGGTGGAGATAATTTAATCTCCTCTTCCTTTGTAGTACTTTTGGAACTCAGACATTATTACATACACACATATATATTCAAATAAATGCTTGTGGAATGGCTATATATATATATATAAAACACACATACACACACACATACACACACACACACATACACACACACACACACACACACACACACACAAGCCAGGTAGGTTTTTTTCTTTCTTTCTTTATAACAATATCTTTTTTTTTTTAGACAGAGTTTTGCCCTGTCACCCAGGCTGGAGTGCAGTGACACAATCTTGGTTCACTGCAACCCCTCTGACTCCCCAGTTCAAGTGATTCTCCTGCTTCAGCCTCTTGAGTAGCTGGGATTATAGGCACACACCACCATGCCTAGCTAAATTTTGTAATTTTAGTAGAGATAGGGTTTTGCCATGTATACCAGGCTGGTCTCGAACTCCTGACCTGATCTCAGGTGATCCACCTGCCTCAGCCTCCCAAAGTGCTAAGATCACAGGTATAAGTCACTGTGATCTCTTTTACAATATCTTCATGACATTCAATATATTTAATGTTGAAGGCACATCAGCTGGCCAACATGATGAAACCCCGTCTCTACCAAAAATACAAAAATTAGCTGGGGGTGGTGGCGGATGCCTATAATCCCAGCTATTTGGGAGGCTGAGGCAGGAGAATCGTTTGAAACTGGGAGGTGGAGGTTGCAGTGAGCCAAGGTCATGCCATTGCAGTCCAGCCTGGGTGACAAGGCTGAAACTCTGCCTCAAAAAAAAGGTGTTGGCCAGGCGTGATGGCTCGTGCCTGTAATCCCAGCACTTTGGGTGGCTGAGGCGGGCAGATCACAAGGTCAAGAGATCGAGACCATCCTGGCCAACATGGTGAAACCTTTTCTCTGCTAAAAATACAAAAATTAGCTGGGTGTGGTGGCGTGTGCCTGTAATCCCAGCTACTTGGGAGGCTGAGGCAGGAGAATCACTTGAACCCAGAGGCAGAGGTTGCAGTGAGCTGAGATCGTGCAACTGCACTCCAGCCTGGCAACAGAGCAAGACTCTGTCTCAAAAAAGAAAACAGAAATGTATACCTATTATTCAGCATAAGACATTGACGCTATTCTTGAGTTAGTTGACTTGAATACAAATTGCATAGTATGATATAGTGGTTAAAAGCATGAATTCGGAAACCAAACTGCCTGCATTCAAATCCCAGCTCTGATACCTGCTAGTTTAGATAAATTACTTAACTGCTGTGTGCCTTAGTTTTCCTGTCTATAAAGGAGAGATGATGATGAAGGTAATAGAACCAAATTCATTCATGTTTTTGTTAGGATTAATGTAAGTGGAGTGTTTACAACAATCCCTGGCACATAATGCTACATAAGTGTTTGCATTATCAAGTGAAGAATGTTTGAAATCAGTAGTCTTGAAACTCCTTTGCTTGCATAATCCCTGAAAGACTTTTGGAAACAATATACCCCTTCACATACTTTTAAGTTGATACCTCAAAGTTTCATCATCTAAATAGTTGCAAAGAGTATACTTTCTGGCACACTGTAAATATTAACATTTAAAATAAAACAGGGCTGGGCAAGGTGGCTCAGACCTGTAATCCCAGAACTTTAGGGGGCTAAAGCGGACTGATCCCTTGAGCTCAGGAGTTTGAGACCAGTCTAGGAAACATGGCAAGACCCTGTCATTAACAAAAAATACAAAAAACTAGCTGAGAGTGGTGGTGCATGCCTGTAGTCCCAGCTATACTCAGGAGGCTGACGTGGGAGGATCACCTTGTTAGATATAGTGAACCCCAAGTTTCTCTTCAAAGAATCACTATGTCAGTATGTTCAGCTCTCTTATTCTTCAATTCTCTATTTTAAAGTTTAATTTCCTTATAGTTTCAGTAAACAACCTTTTCCACCAGTCCTAATCAGTAGTTCACATCTGTTCCCCCCGTCTCCTCCCCAATCCTGACTCATCCTGGTCACCTGCTTTGACCACTGCTTACCTGCTCTGACCTACCTGCCCATAACTGTCCTTCCTGCCAAACTACCCACCATGCCCCTGCTCCCTTTAAAATAGTCAATTGAAATTAGACTAAACTGTGTAGTCTAACCCTGGCCAATAGGGAAACAACACAGCAGTAGGGGCGACCTCTGTCAGGGCATAAGTACCCCTTCCTCTCTTTGTCCAGGTGTATGCTCTCCATTGTTCCATCTGTGAGCCACACCTGTCTATAGATGTAAATGGCCTTGCTGAGGAAATTTATATTCAAGTGCTACTTCTTTCTTATTTTAATTTTTAGAGATGGGGTCTCACTATGTTGAACAGGCTGGAGTGCAGTGGCTATTCACAGGCGTGATCCCACTACTGATCAGCACCAGAGTTTTGGCCTGCTCCGTTTCTGACCTGGGCCGGTTCACCCCTCCTTAAGTAATCTGGTGGTCCCCCGCTCCCAGGAGGTCACCATATTGATGCCAAACTTAGTGCAGACACCCAATCAGCATAGCGCACTACAGCCCAGAACTCCTGGATTCAACAGATCCTCCAGCCTCAGCCTCCTGAGTGGCTGGGACTACAGGCACACGCCTCCACATCCAGCCAAGTGCTACTTCTTTTGCGGCATCAAAAATTCTACTTCTAGGCCAGGTGCAGTGGCTCAAGCCTGTAATCCCAGCACTTTGGGAGGCTGAGGCGGGTGGATCATGAGGTCAAGAGATCGAGACCATCCTGGTCAACATGGTGAAACCCCATCTCTACTAAAAATACAAAAAATTAGCTGGGCATGGTGGCGCATGCCTGTAATCCCAGCTACTCAGGAGGCTGAGGCAGGAGAATTGCCTGAACCCAGGAGGTGGAGGTTGCAGTGAGCCGAGATCACACCATTGCACTTCAGCCTGGGTAACACGAGCGAATTTGAGTAATAATAAAACTCCCATCTCCTGTATACATGGCTCTGCATGAATTACTCTTTCTCTACTGCAATTCCCCTTTCTTGATAAATCAGCTCTATCTAGCAAAAAAAAAAAAAAAGAAAGAAAGAAAAAGAAAATTCTACTTCTAACAACCTGAGCTCAAGGAAGTGGAAGCTGCAGTGAGCCAAGATCGTGACACTGTACTACAGCCTGGGAGACAGAGCAAGACTCTGTCTCAAAAAATAAAATAAAAAACTGTTACATCTTTTTTTGTTTTTCAGACAGTGTCTTACTCTGTCACCCAGGCTGGAGTACAGTGGTGTGATCACAGCTCACTGGAGCCTCGACCTCTAGGGCTCAGTTGAGCCTCCCACCTCAGCCTCCTGAGTAGCTGGATTTTACATGTCTATACCACCATGCCCTGTTAATTTTTTCATTTATGTAGAGATAGGGTTTCGTCGTGTTGCACAGGCTGGTCTTTAACTCCTGGGTTCAAAGGACCCACCTGCCTAGGCCTCCCAAAGTGCTGAGATTACAGGCATGAGCTACTGAACCCACAGCCTGTTATATTGCTTTTCAATATTTATACACTACACTCTAAGTACCACAGAAATTTGATACCCAGATTATCCACTTAAAACTAATACATGCACAAGCTTTTGTTAATAGTTAAAATTTTTACATCATTTTGTTTCCCTTTGAACTTGTATTTCTTTCACTCTACCCATAGAATCTTAACCTAATTGTGGAGTTCTAATTAAGGAAAAGAGGTCACACTGGCAGGAGAAGGGAAAAGCAAAAAGAGAAGGCAGAGAAATTCTAAGTCTGCCTTTCTTCATGGTCCAGGACACATAGCCCTCCTATGCAGATAACTCACATAATTCACAATCTTCCTGTGCCCTATTTGTAACCACCCAATGGGTTCACCTTGCCCACTGCCTAGATAGAACTGATTTATCAAGAAAGGGGAATTGCAGTAGAGAAAGAGTAATTCATGCAGAGCCATGTATACAGGAGATGGGAGTTTTATTATTACTCAAATCAGTCTCCCTGAGCATTCTGGGATCAGCGTGTTTGTTTGTTTGTAGAGGGAGTCTCGTTCTGTTGCCCAGGCTGGAGTGCAGTGGCATGATCTCTGTTCACTGCAACCTCTGCCTCCCGAGTTTAAGCAATTCTCTGCCTCAGCCTCCCAAGTAGCTGGGATTACAAGCATGTGCCACCACACCTGGCTAATTTTTGTATTTTTAGTAGAGGCAGGGTTTCACCATCTTGGCCAGGCTGGTCTTGAACTCCTGACCTCATGATCCACCCATCTTGGCCTCCGAAGTGCTGGGATTACAAGCCTGAGCTACCGCACCTGGCCTAGAATCAGAGTTTTTAAGGATAATTTGGTGGGTGGGGGAGGCCAGTGAGTTGGGAGTGCTGATTGGTTGGGTGGAAGATGAAATCATAGGTAGTAGAAGCTGTCTTCTTGAGCTGAGTCAGTTCCTGAGTGGTGACCACAAGACCAGATAAGCC